GGAGCCAGTTTTCAAAGAGGTTGTCCAAGATTGGAACTCGTGCACAAATGTGAAAACAGAAAACAAGAGTAAAATTACTTTTCTTTCACTTTTATTACAAAGACAATTGCCTATTGTACTTTTATTGTTGTAAATTGGTAATCCTTTCATTATATAGGTATGATATTTCTACTGTCGGCGTCATGAAGTACTGAGCAAACCCGTCTTATGCTTCAGCCTCGGTTTGTAGATCTATGTTGTGTATCCAGAGATAATCTCATCCAGGTATCTTGCTTCCTTAATTGATCACGTATGCCATTATCAAGTTCATCGAACGATTGTATTGACATCCTGTAGAAATCAAAGAATTTATCTGGATGTGCTCGTAATGTTGTTCTTTTTAGATAAAATGGACTCTCGTAGATTTTCCGACTGTTTAACGGATGCACGCAATACCGATCTTTCTTTTTCGTCTTTCTTTATAATGATAATAGAAGTGCAATCGCAATTAAATCGTCGTTCTCCATCGCCAAGCATTCACAGAGCCGCCACTGAACGTACTGGTAGTATAGGGTGATTTTTTGAGAGGTATAGGATTTGATTTTCAAAAAAAAAAACACATAAAATTTGAAAAAACGATTAAATCTTTATTTGAGTCGATAGAACGGTCGATATAATTTAATGTTTCATGTAAATGTTGGCCGCGGCTCCGCTCTAGATGGCCCATGCGCAAAGTCCAATTTTGGCACACTGTCTCCAACATATCGGCCGGTATCTCACGAATAAATTCTTCAATATTGGCTTCCAGCGCGTCAATCGTTCCTGGTTTATCCCTGTAGACATTAGCCTTAACATGGCCCCACAAGAAATAGTCCAACGGCGTTAAATCACACGATCTAGGCGGCCAATTGACGGGCTCCAGACGTGAGATAAACTGTTCACCGAACTCGCCTCTCAATAGGGCCATTGTTTCGTGTGCGGTGTGGCATGTGGCACCGTCTTGTTGAAACCACATGTCAGCCAAGTACGGCCCGATGATGCCACCGGCCCATAATCCACACCAAACAGTGATTTTTTCTGGATGCATTGGTAGCTCTTGCAATGCTTCTGGCTGGTCTTCACTCGAGATGCGGCAATTTTGCTTGTTAACGTACCCATTCAACCATAAATGAGCTTCGTCGCTGAACACAATTTTTCGATAAAAATGTGGATCTTCCTCCAACTTTGCCAGCGCCCATTCACCAAATGGGAAACGTTATGGGAGGTCATGTGGCTTCAATTCTTGCACCAGCTGTATCTTATAAGGTTTTACACCCAAATCCTGTCGCAAAATTTTCCACGTAGTGGAGTAACAGAGGTCCAACTGCTGCGAACGGCGGCGAATCGACATTTCACGGTCATCACTAACACTGGCGGATACAGCCGTAATATTTTTTTCAGTCCTCACTCTACGTCTGCGTGTTGGTGGTTTAATGTCCAATAATGTAAACTATGTTCGAAATTTAGTCACAAGCTTCCGAATAGCTCACTCAGTAGGCCGACCAAACTGCCTATAAATTGGAAGCAGTGCTCGATGCACTCTCTTAACCGAGCATGAATTTTGATAGTAAAAATTCAATAATTTGCAAGCGTTGTTCGTTCGCAAGTCGATTCATGGTTAAATTATAGACCAAACTGAACAAGTTTGACAATGACACAAGACACGATTCACGCGTCATCTGTCAAAAACAGTGTTGCCAAAAAGATACTAGCAAACAAATCACCCATTATAATATTCACTTCAAGAAATTGTACGTTTGCGCTAGACTCACGGAATTCCGAACTGGAATTCGTGATTAGGAAACCGTATACAGAAAACGAATGTATGCTCCCAGCCTTACGAGAATTCATAGATTTGTAATATACAAATATGTATTTCATTTCTCATTTCAACATATTTTTTTGTTTTGTATTCAAGGATTCACTAAATTAAATACAACTACAAAAACTCTTTCAATTATTTTGAGGGTTTTTAAATAGACACAATGAGCAATTCCATATCAACTATCTGCGAGAAGGCAAAAATTACCTCGAAATCTATCCATAGTTTCATACATTGAACTTCGTTTCCAAATTTTGGAATCGTGAACGCTTCCAGGCCCCTGACTATATTCACTTGTAATCACTTCATTTGCATCACAAGTTAGGTGTACATTTATACTCGCAAATCCTTTTCTATTGACATATTCGTCACCAAAATCTGAAGGTTTTTTGATTTTCACATGAGTACAGTCTAATGCATCGATGACAAACTGATTCGACCATTTTGTTCTTGCTTCTTCCATGCTCTCAAGGTCAGACGGGAACTTTATCCACTGATGGACTTTTTCAAATAATCTGTCAGCAACATACTCTATAGTTTTACATACTGTCGAATGGTGAACGCCGTGGATGCCTTTAACAGACATTAAGTTAATTCATACTGATTTTAAGGTATTCCTCTGTTTATTCAGCTAAAAAGAAGGAAGTACTGGAAAACCCTAAGTGAAGCCTTATATCTGTTAATTACTTGAAACTGAATGAGTTTACTTAATACTATAAGTAGACTCTTCTTTATGAAGTAGTTACTGACTTTTTATTCAATGTTTATCAAATAAATAAGCATCAAATAACAAGAAGTATAAACAAATACTTTTTTTATTCAATAGACCTATTTTCATATGCATAATATGGAACGGAAAACGAATAAAACTTTGACGTTTCAAAAGGTCTTGTCATCTTTTGGGGTAGTGGGGCTGTAAAGGAGGGTGAGTCGCAATTTCCTGATGAAAGTATATTGCAACACTTTCTATCCCGGGGATTCTGCGCACCCATTAGACATATTTCACACATCCCCGCCTTTGAAAATAGGAAGGCGCGAGTCGAGAATATCTGCTTGGTGCAGCAAATTCTGACTGCATAGCTAGTGATCTCGATTTCGAGTTATAGCAGAGTTGCTAGATTCCTTGCAAGAAAGAGCAGGTAGCAGTGCATGCGATATACACATACGACCTGGGCATATTACCTATATACAGGATGTCCCAAAAGTCATTGATCGAATGAAAGGGGGTAGTAGGGGGTAATTTTCAATCAGACATATTTCGTTATTCAATTGTGCACGGTCTATCGCAGGGGTCGGCAACCTTTTGAGACGGAAGAGCCAAAAGTTACAATTTACAAAAACCAGCAATTGCATTTGAAACGAACCAGCATTTATATTCTAAGTGGCTCAATGTTGATCTCATTTATATTTGTGTTGAGAGGATTTACTATGAACTGGAGAGCCGCAACTAGACATCAAAGGAGCCGTATGCGGCTCGCGCGCCGCAGGTTGCCGACCCCTTGTCTATCGCCATTTTTTAACAATTTAAGATGATCGCTACTTTGAGATTGGACTGTTTTTTCTCTGAAGTGGTCTTTTATTACTATTTCTCTATCAACTTTACAGGGTACATTCCCAAATAATGTATCGTTGAAAAAAATATGAGTGAAAAATTTGTCCGGGTTATATAGGTAAATCAATCGGCTAAGCCTACGTATTTTTGATGCTGTTGCACCTCAAGTAAAGTTGTACTAGGAGTTGTTTCGAAAGCGTGAAAATATAATACACAGAGAAAGAAAACTATACAAGGTGCTTCTGTTAATGATCATGACTATGTTTCCCTTGATGTAAGAATATGGTAAAATAAATAGTTGCTATTTTAATCATTTCATCTTTTTAGACCTTGAAAAAGAACATCACAATGAAACCGCCATACAATTAGCTTACAGCGTATGGCAGTATATGATCAAAATGATAGAGGTTAGATTGCCTGAATTAGGTCTCAAAACTACTCAGATGAGAATTCGAAAAATGTAATTGAACTGTAGAACTATTGCAGGAAATCATGAAATAAATACAACTGTATCAATATACGAGTAGTGTTCGTGAATACAGGCATCCGTCATCTGTTGGAAACGCAGCGAAGATGTAGAAATAAGGGAAACAGCGAGGAAGCTGAAAGCGGTTGTGGGAGGGAAATGAATAATGTGGCTTATGGTTCATACAATGAGGGTAAGATACTGAAAAATAACAAATTTATATTTGTTTCATATAAAAAGATTTCAGATGGTCAAATGAATGTTTTAAGGCATTCCCTTAGGTATGCTATATCAGCAATTTGGTGCTGTGGTATTATGTATCAAGAAAAGATGAAATTCGATTAAGTATATTTTGTTGTTATTATTTTTATAATAATAAATATGGCGTGGTGACGGGTCGTTTCCATATTTGGGTAAAGGTAGAAGTTTTGATGTGATTGGTTAAGTTAGCTCAAATTACGGCTACTGGAAAGGACAACATTTCTATTGAGTCACTTCATAATCAATAAAACTGAGGTGCAATATGATAATTTCTAATAAACGTTTTTATCTATGTCATTGAAAGTATGCACGTATGGGAATAAATATAATCAGCGCTTGGTATAGACTGTTCTGAATAAGATCCTGAGTACAGTTCATACTTCAATACAAAGGTGGCACTTGCTGCTATTAAATAGAAGTGAAAACGTAATGAAGTATCGTGAAGATCGCCGTATATGCCACTTTTTGTACAACCACACCCTTTACATGCTTCAGCTGGTTCTATGATACCAATATACAACATTTCATATGTCCAGAAAATTCTCCTCGCTCGTAATCGATTCAATTCATGAAAGTGACAATTTCGGAAGTGTGTTTCTTAATGAGCATGTTGCGTGTTTTGCCGCAACAGATACATATGTCAGGGTGCACGACATTCTTTTGTCTGGTCTGTGGTGAAAAATACTATCGCAAAAGACGTGTTCCATTATTACGACCAAACAGTAACATCAAAAAGCAAGAGACGTTGTAACTTTAGGGTAGGGCATATGCTCATTAAAACTTCGTAGTTTCCCCTTTCTGATCCTGATGATCATGCTTGTTAGATTTGAGTATTAATTATCGATAAAGTTAGTGTTTTACAACACAAAGAAAAACAATAATTACGACTTACATGCCACATGTATTTGCCTTCTGTCTTCTGCTGTTCCGCCTGGAAATCTGGGATTATCTGCTCGACAAACCAACTCTTTTCCGTCATCGTCTGGCGATACGTTCAGAGTTAGAAGACTTCCCGTAAATGTTTCTGTTTCTTCTTCCTTAAGATAGAGATTCATTGTTACTATGATTGCTCGCTGCAGATTAGCTCTAGCGCTTATCGGAGATGGCAGAGTATGAGAATGTGTTGGCACCCCGTTGCTACCTTGCTACCTTTCAGATTTCAAATGCTTCATCATACAAAAGACGCTACGGCATGCCGATACCTTCCGTAGCGTAATTTCACATATTTCATAACGGATATCTCCAAGACGGCTTCTTCCTTCAGGAAGGATTCTTTCCTCTCAGTATCAGAGAGCATACTGTTAATACCGCGGCATACAAAAGATGCTACGGCATGCCAATACCTCCCGTATCGGGACCTCACAGCATGCTCTCTAATACCTTCAGGAAGGATTCTTTCGTCTAGGTATCAGAAAACATGCTATCAAGACCGCGGCATACAAAGGTGCTACGGCTTGCCAATACCTCCCGAAGCGGGAATTCATAGCATGCTCTCCGATACCTTCAGAAGGGATTCTTCCCTTTCGGTATCAGAGAGCATGTTGTGGGTAGCGCATCATACAGAAGACGCTACATCCTGCCGACAGCTCCCAGTGCAGTATCTCATAGCATGCTCTCCAGGAAGAGTTTTTCCCTCTCGGTACCGGAGCGCATGATCTGGATACCACGGCATACCGACATCTCCCCTGGGATCTCACTACATCCTTGCTGATACCTCCAGAGAGGATAACTCCCTCTCGGTATGAGAGAGCATGCTGTGGATACCGCGGCATATAAAAGATGCTACAGCATATCGATACCGCTCTTTGCGAGATCATCTCAGAGCATGCGCTCCGTTTTGCCCAGGAAGAATCCTTCCCTCTCGGTATTGGAGAGGATGTTGGAGATACCGCGGCATAAAAAAGAATGCTACGGCACTTCCCACAGCGGGATACCACAGCATGTCTCTGATATCTGCAGGAAGGATTCTTCTCTCTCGGTATCATACAGCATACTCTGGAACAGGTTCCGCCATTTACCGGCATGAAAATATGCATCAGATCTGCTAGCTGTAGTAGACATGCGACGAAATGCCGACTAACGCTTGCAGTACCGCAGGGGTTGTTTTTATAAGTATGCATTTTAGGGAGAAAGGAAAGGTACCTCCCTACGTTCCCTCAGTGTGCGTTAGCCCTCAATATTTTGCGTTTGAGCTATGAGATAAGAAATTTGATATTACTAAGCTCTACAATAGAAATAATCAATAGGTCCTTTTACATTTTGGCAAACTTACCGTAATGACGGCGTTCCTAATCGCTTTTCCATCCAAAAGCCACGTTAATTTAGCTGGAGGATATGATCCAGATGTCTCGCATCTAACTGTCTGAGATTTTCTCGTTGAAAGAAGATCATTAGGTGTGACGATTTTCACTTTATTGGGTTTCACTGAAACAAAATCGCAATCAATGAACATATAACTGACAAAGCGAAATGATAATAAAATCATTGAGTAACAGAGTTCTCCTGTAAATATGTTTCGGATACTACAAGTTCTATGCTACTTTTACATTTTCGGTACTAATTTCAAGCAGAAACTTCAAAAAAGCTTGGGATAATTTCAATCCAGAATACTGCAAAACATTGGTAGACACTATGCGAAAAAGAATCGATCCTGTATTAGAACGAAAAGGTGACGGCACTCAGTCGTAACTTTTCAAAAACGTTTGGTCCAACTAATATGCGCCACACATTATAATTTTTTTTGTTTCGTTTATTATAGTAGTTTGAAAATATAACAAATATTGTTGATTAATTGGTAATAATACATAGTTTCAAATTATCTAAGTTGTTTTTGTTCAAGTTATTTTGAATAAATAAAAATTAGTTCACAAATAGAACATTCGATAAATATTTTTCGTTGGTCCTACTCATATGCGACTGGGTTTGAATCAATAAACTGTCAACACTGATGGAACAGGTGTAACGCGAATTCATTGCGGCTAGAATGAGAAACGAGAAGGATAGCGCTAGTCAGGGCAAGACATTGGCAAAACATCGTGGTCCATTGTGGTATTTCCATATATGTTCTAAGGATTTTTGGTGAATGTTTGTTTTTAGTGACGTTAAAGATTAATAGTGATAGTTTGCGGCAATTATTATAAACATGTTTATGCCGGACAGCCTTCAAGAGCTGTTGTTTTATGTGATATTTGTTTAAAAATGGTTCAATCTTGCAGTGCGGTGAATTGTTGCAATAGACGCATAAAAGATGTGAAAATGAAGTTTCACAGGTTGGTTTTAATCATCTCATTCATTTTTGTGTGAGAATTACCTGTTAATTGGTAATTTGAGAAAATATTTGGATTTTTAGGATACCTACAGATCCTAACAGGAGGAAGTTGTGGTTACATGCTTTAAGAAGAGAAAACTACTCCCACTACAAAAACGGTAATTTGTGAAAAGCATTTCACTTCAGAGGATTATGAAGTTAGTGTTCATGGAAATAAGGTACTAAAAAAGGTGCCAATTCCATCTGTGTTTGATTTTCCAGCCCATCTCAAAAAGAACCTAGCCATCGAAGGGTTTTGAAAAGAAAACATAAATACATAATTTCTAGAATGAACTATGGTATAACCTATATTGTATTATAATGAAAAACTGTGTCTCTACAGTATTGTTATTGCCATTGTGCACAAATATTTTGTATACATATATATATATGAGCAGTAGTCATTGCCAAAGCCAACGACTAGTTGGGTACAAAATACAATTACTCGTTAATTGGGAAATTGGCAAAACTTTTATGCTTAAGTTGACTCTTTTGACGATAAAATCAACAAGCCCAATGTCCCCGTCCTTTTGTTTTTATACTGATCACAAGTTCGATCTTCTCTACGCTCTTTCTGAAACACCTCGTGGCTGCAACCTCACCGACGAGTAAGTTATCTGACATTTTAAATCTGTCCTGTTTTCTTTGCTAGCATCACAATTGTGTTTTCAGAATCCTGATGATGGCTCCATAGAGAATGCCGAAAGCTTGATTTTATCATCAAAAGAGTCATCTTAAGCATACAAGTTTTGCCAATTTCCCAATTAACAAGTAATTGTATATATATATAAGGGTTTTTTCTTTGTACACTTTAATCTCTACAAAACTGGACGTGTTCCCACTACATTTAAAATAATATAAATTTAAATGTGCATAAATACTATTTGGAACATTATAAAGATATATAGAAAATAACATGTATTTATTGTGATATTTTTTAGAGCTCTTATTTTTTATATGTAAGATATAGCATATTAGAGCAGTTAAGTTAATTATAAGCAGACATGTAATCTCTTTGCTACCTGAATTATTAATTACTAATACTAATTTTTATATCTTCAAATGTGTAAAGGAGAATTTATTGGCAAGTTTCATACATATGTACATATAAATAAAAAAAAAAACTTGGTTTTTTAATTATAATTACGTTTCCAGGATTTTATCTCGTTCCAGTTGCCTGAATAACTTTTAAATCTTCTCTAAGAATCCTCGGTTTCCTATGCAATTCATTCAAGTCCGCGCGCTTTTTGCCCTGACTAGCTCCATCTCTCTTTCGGACCTCTTTGTCGTATGTTGGCCGCATTATCGTTTCATTGTACAAATGGGACGATGCGATTCCATCAGTGTTGACAGTTCATTGGTTCGAATACACCAGGGACTTGTACGCCATTACCCAGTATCTAAGATACAAAAAAGAACCCACGAGAATGTAGAAGGAGCGTAGCGCTAGCTCTTAATAAATAGCTTTATCGAAAACAAAACAATAAATGCGTATTTAAATTTGAGTTGTTTGCCCCAGTTGTTTGGAGAACTTTTTTTAAAGTCTAAGTACCGCAATATAATCAATAACAATCTTGTTCAAAATAAAAATTCAAGTGATGAATCACAAGCCCCCATGGGTCAATGTGAGCATTTTTGTTTTTTCTTTTGGGTTACGCGGCAGTGAGATAAAAGTCCCTTAAGAAACACGTCACAGTCCTTATAACAAAAGAATTGGCTGAAATTCTAATATGTTGGTATTCATACCAGACTGATCAAAAGTCCCCATGGCATAGTCGTAAAATCGACAGTTGTCTAGTTACAGTGTGTTCAAGCTTAATAAATTCGATAAAGGTTTGGGCCTACGACAAACACCAACACAACTTTATTATTTCTTTCGCCATGGATTAGAAATTAGTATCTCTCACAATGCCAATTTCATCAACCTATTGGATGCTTACCGATTTTCAAGCACGTTCTTTACACACTTTTTGGTTGTATGGAAACACTGTAATTCTTGTGGAAAATAAGTTATGATCACACTGGCTGGTATTCAGATCAAAAGATTGTAGTAACAACGATTTTCGAACTACAAGATGTGTAGGTCAACGAAACATTCATGGTAAATGATTCCTGGTCAACTTGGCTGAAATATAAGCATGATGTTCTCCATCATCTGATGAAAAGTCTCAAATGCACTATAGTCCTATAATCACCGCGGACCTAACCATTCAACACCCTCAGGGTGGGGACAGCAACTAACGAATCTAAAGAATAATAGGCTTCAAGGAAACAACTCAAATATAAGTACGCATTTATTGTTTTGATTTCGAAAAACGTATAAGGAGCTTTCGTGAGGCCGTATAATACTTCACGGATAAGGCTGGTGCGGCTCCTGATAGAATGTTGTAAGCCTTGGAGGATTGAGATATGGGGCTATTTAAACTTAAAGTAGTATACCTTGTATATATAGGTACACTGCTCTAATTCTAAAAGCTGCTTCAAACCCAAGATATTAAATTCCTTATAGGTCTGGCGTGTGCATAAATCGATCAAAATTGAATAATATTTTTAAAGCTTTATTTTGGACTATTTGAACTTTACTGAAATTAACTTTTCCACATGTGCCCCAAACAGGAAGCAGATTCTAAGATGTGAAGAAAAATAGGCATAATACACATTATATTTAACAGCATTTGTTAGATAAGAACTATTTTTATATAATGCGCCGATCATAGAAGTAATTTTATTGACTATGTGGTTAAATGTGCTCACTCTAAGTAAATTATCGTCAGTTCTTACACCTAAATATCTGCTACAGTCTATTTGTTCTAATACAACGTTATTTATCTTTGACACAATATTATTATTCTTACGTACAATAAGCTTAGTCTTGTTTATATTTATTTTGAGCTTATTATACGATAACCATTTATAATACTGATCCAAATCATTATTTATCATAGCTTCTATGTTAGATTCATTACCATCTGTGTATAATTGTTCAGTATCACCAGCAGATGAAAAATAATTACAAACAAGAATAGATTAACACAAACGAAAAGAGGATATAAGAGAGATCCAAGAACAGACCCTTGAGGTTCACCACACGCATTAGACAAACTTTCACCATTACCTATTTTAACATAATGCCGCAAACCTACTAGAAATGATCTTGAAAGATTGTAAAATGTTCCCCTGAATCCCATATCCCTTTATCTTCAGAAAATTTGAGGTCTATAATTGACGCATAAAAAGCACTTTTTAAAAAATGTGTTTTATGTCCAAGTTTAATGAGGCAGAAACCAGCATGAAAAACTAATGTATAAGCTTAGATACATTTATTTGACTACCTGAAGATTACACGTTCATAGCAACTTACATCTTAAGCATAAGTATATTAGCAAATATTTGAAATGATGGGTAGGTATTGTCTAAAATATGAAACTATCACTGAACTGTCTGGGGGTATAGGAAAAAGTTCGCTTCAAGAATTTAGAATAGGTATGTTTGTTAAAGCTTCAAATGCCATGCAGCGAATCTTAATAGAATACTTTCGAATGATATATCACAAGCCCCCACTTTCCATTGGATTGGAAATTAGATTTTACGCACAAGATGTAATGCTTAAATCCAAAATGGATTTGCCATAAGAAATGTGCCCTATCCTTTTAATATGGGGCCCCTACAGGGCTCTCACCAATTTTACCTACTCCTATTAACAAGATGCCTTCAACTGTTTTATGTCACTCGCGGTATTCAATTATCTAGGCCTTTTCCTTTGTAGCTGTTTTAATATAAAAAGCTGTCCTGTCATCTTCACATCGTATTTTATAGCACTCAAAATTCAGTGAACTTGCACAGCCATCACTGAAAATGCCTCCACAATCCTGACAAAGATGTCTGGCTTTGAAACCATTGCACGAAAAATTCTCCCTTTCTAGAGCAAAGAGCAAATTAATGGTAAATAGCTAGAGTCCTTTTGTAGGATTATTCTAGCGAACCTCAGAGAGTAGTCTTTCAAAGTTTACTTTTAATTTAATGTGATTTAGGGTATACGCTTACATAGAATTTGAAAATGGCGTCAAGTAGGCTGACTTCCCACGCAATGCCTTCATCAGTTCATAAAGGATTACGTTTAGCACAAGTTAGAGTCTATGAGAAAA